TACTAGAAAAATAAATGATCTTAAAGGAAATGATTTCTCTGAGGTAGAAAACGTTCTCGAATGCTTAGAAAAATGATAGAAAAGTGTGTGCCTGCGATGATTGTTCATGANAACAACGGATGATAGCGGTCACGGGCTCTGACCACAGGTCCAGAGCACTTTGAAGGACACAGGAAGAATGCCAACGTCTGCTGATAAAGAGAGTCGCTTATTAAAAGCTCATCTGTGATGTGAATTTCCCAGTCAGATTACAAACAGAATGACCACCTCACTTGTATCAGTTGCTATTGCCCCTGAAGACCAAAAAACACTGAAGACTGATACAGTACTCGATGTCTATAAATATAAATAAATATGTACCTACATATATATACATACAAGCACATACATATATGCATACATATTTTACAGTTGCCAGCCAGGGTTGAGAACACCAAAGAAGATAAAGGACGTGAAGCTAAATTATTCAGACACTAAACATGATTATTTGAGTGAGAATTTTCCATCTTGTGTTGTGAGCTGGGTCTGCCGTCTGTGTGTCAAGTGAGCATTTGCGCCCCCATGGAGAGCATCGGCCCGGCCCTCTGAAGGCCGTACCCGGGGGAGGTCTGGGCGCGGGGCTTCCCTCCAGCTCCTCCAGGCATCCCCCTGGCTGTCTCCTGGCGGGGGGCCCCGGGGTGAGGCGTGGGCGCCGGCTCAGTCATAGGGCGGCAGGCCGAACAGCTCAGGCTGGAAATCCTGCAGGGAAACCAGCACGAGGGTGGCCTTGGAGGTCAGGTCTGGGTTCAGGTTTCCGTTGGGGACCATGACCACCTGCATCCCGGCAGTGAGGGCCGCCTCCACCCCGTTGGGTGCGTCCTCGAAGACCAGGCACTGCGGGGAGAGGGAGGGGGAAAAAAAAAAGGGTTGAGTGGTCCCAGTCGGTACTCACATGTCTCGCCTGGGTGGGCACGGTCCCCGTGGCCGGTGGCTGAGTCCGCCCATGGGCATGACCGGAGTTCTATGGGACCCAGAAGGGTGTGGACACAGGGCTGCCCGCTTTATCACCCGTGAGAGGGGTGGAGGGGGCCGGCACGCCCCCCATCTGAGCACAGCCCGCCCTGGCACCGTGCAGCGGGCTGGCCCATTGCTCTCAGCCCTTCAGTGGCACCGAAAGCAAGCACAGCTCAGCGGGGAGCCCGGGCTCTAGGCTCACTGATCTATTTTACTGGAATCGTTCAGAAGCGGTCCTGTTGGTAATTATTTCAAGCATTTTTTATGACCACAGTGGTGTGAAACTAGAAACCAACCACAGAAAGTAAAACAGGAGTAGAACAAACAGCTGGAGATCAAACATGCTACTAAAAAAACCAAGAGAGTCAATGGTAAAATCAAAGAAGATATCAGAAAAAATAAAAACTCAAGAAAATGAAAATACAACCTTGCAACATCTATGGGATGCAGCAAAAGCACTTCTAATGAGGAATTTTATAGTGATTAAGGCCCTTCTCAAGAAGAAACATTTCAAATAAACAATATTATCCACAACTTAATGAAATTAGAAAAAGAAGAACAAACAAAACCTAAAGTTGGCAGAAGGGAGAAATAATAAAGATGAGAAAGGAAATAGAAAAGAGATTAAAAGTAGAAAAAAAGCAATAAATCCAACAATTGTTTGTTTGAAAAGATAAACAAAACTGATAAACTTCTGGCAGATCTCACCAAGAAGAAAAGAGAGAGGACTGAAATAAACAAAACAAGAAATGAAAGAGGAGAAGTAAAAACTGATACCATAGAAATACAAAAACACTTTTAAAAGAATATTATGAACAGGTATTTGGCAACAAATTAGATCATCTAGAACAAAGGGACAAGTTTATAGAAATATGTTGGTCTTGTTGCATAGCTGCTAAGTCATATCCGACTCTTTTACAATCCCATGGACTGTAGCCCTCCAAGTTCCTCTGTCCATGGGATTTTCCAGACAAGAATACCAGTGGGATGCCATCTCCTTCTCCAGGGGACCTTCCCAATCTAGGGATCAAGCCTGCATCTCATGCATTGGCAGGTGAATTCTTTACCACTGAGCCACCTTGGAAGCCCTTGTAGCAATATACAGCCTGCCAAAACTGAGTCAAGAGGAAACAGAAAATTTGAGCAGACCAATTATTAGAAATTAAACTGAATATGTAATTTAAAAAGAATGGTCCAGGACCAGATGCCTTCAAGGCAGAATTCCACAAAACATATTTTAAAAAAGCTTACACCTATCCTGCTTTAATTATTCCAAAAAATTGAAGAGGAAGGAACATTGCAAAATTATTTCCATGAAGCCACTGTCACTCTATTACCCAAAAGAGACAAAGACACTATACCTACACATTTGACAAGTACAAGTCAATATCTTTGATGAATATAAATGCAAATATCCTCAACAAAATATTGCAAACTGAATGCAACAGTACATAAAAAGAATCAAACATAATGATCAATTGGACAATTCCAAGGTTCACAAGGATGGTTCAACACACACAAACCAATGTGATATACCACATTAACAAAAGGGAAGACAAAAATACATGGTCATCTCAGTAGACTCATAAAGAGCTTTTCATAAAATTCAGCATCCATTCAAGATAAGAACTCTCACCAAAAGTGGATATAGAGGGAACATGTATAGAGGGAAAATAAAAGCCATTTATGACAAACCCACTGTCAACATAATACTCTATGGTAAAAAGCAGAAAGCTTCTTCACTAAATTCAGGAAAAAGACAAGGATGCCCATTCTCACCATTCTATTCAACATGGTATTAGAAGTGGTAGCTGCAGCAATCAGACAGGAAAAGAAAATGAAAGACAACTCCATTGGAAGGGAGAAGTAAAATGGAACTATTGGTAGATGACACGATACACTATACAGAGAAACATAGGGTCTCCACATAAAATCTATTAGAAGTAATAAAATAATTCAGCAAGGTAGCAGGATACAAGATTAATACACAGAAATCCTTTGATTTCATTATGCTAATAAGTAAATATCAGAAAGAAGAGGAAAAAGCCAATCCATTTAAAAGTCTAACCCCAAAATCTAGGAACTAGCTTAATAAAAAATATGAAAGATCTATACACTGAAAACTATAAAATATTGATAAAGGAAATTCAAGGAGATTCCAAAAATGGAAAACTATTACACATTTTTTTAATTTGAAGAATTAATATTCTTAAAATGGCCATACTACCCAAAGGAATCTACAGATTAATGCAATCCCTATCAAAATGCTGATGATACTTTTAGCAACCAGAATAATCTTAACATTTGTACAGAACCACAAAACATCCAAAATTGACAAAGAAATCCCGAGAAAATAAGAACAAAGCTGAAGGTGTAACCCTTCTAGACTTCAGACATAATTAAGCTACAGTAATCAAAACAGCATGGTATTGACACAATAACAGACATTTAGATTAATGCAACAGAATAGAGTCAATTATGATAAAGGGGAAAGATTATACAATGGAGAAAAGAGAGTTTCATCAACAAATGTTGTTGAGAATACTGGACAGCTACAGGCAAATCAATAAAATCAGAACACTCCTTCACATCATATACAAAAATAAACTTGAAATGGTTCAGACATAAATATGATATGACATCATAAAACTCCAAGAAAAGAATGGTATAAATTTTTTTCTGACATAAATCATAGCAATATATTCTTAGTCTGTCTCCAAAGAGAAAATAAATAGAAACAAAATGAGCAAATGGGAGCTAATCAAACTTAAGGTAAACCATTCAGTATCACAGTAATCCAAGTCTCTGCCCCAACCACTTTAGCTGAAGAAGCTGAAGTTGAATGGTTCTATGAAGACTTAAAACACTCCTAGAACTAACACCAAAAAAGATATCCTTTTCATCATAGGNAATGGTGCTGGGAAACCTGGACAGCTACTTGTATAATAATGAAATTAGAATCTTCCCTAAAACCATATACAAAAATAAACTCGAATGAAAGACCTAAATTTAAGACTGGATACTATTAAAGTCTTACAGGAAAACATGTATGGAACTCTTTTTGACATAAATCACAGAAATAATTTTTTGAATTCATCTCCTAGAGTAATGGAATCAAAAGCAAACTAAACAAATGGGACCTAATTAAAATTAGAACCTTTTGCAAAGCAAAGAAACCATTAAAAAATGAAAAGACAACCTACAGAATGGGAGAAAATATTTACAAATGATGCGACTGACAAAGAGAATAATATACAAACATCTTATACAACTTAAAATAAGAAAAACAAACAAACAAGCCAATAAAAAATGTGCAAAAGATCTAAATAGAGATTTCTCAAAGAAGGCATTCAGATGGCCAATAGGAACATGGAAAAAATGCTCAACATTGCTAATTATCAGAAAAATATAAATCGAAACCACAATGAGTTATCAACTTACCTTAATCAGAATGGCTATAGTCTAAAAGTCTACAAATAACAAATTTTAGAGAGGCTGATTATAAAAAACAACCCTCCTACACTTCTGGTGGAAATGTAAATCAGTACAGCCACTATGGATAACTATATTGAGGTCCCTTTAAAACTAAAAGTGGAATTGAGGTAGGAGATACCTACTTCTGGCCTCTGGGCCAGAAACCTGGTATTTGTCAAGTGGAGTAAAATTCAAGCTTTGTTCTAACCTAGATACTCAAAGGACAAAGCTACTGGTAATAGCTGAGCTCTGCTAAAGTAAAGAAATACGGTGTCCACTCCTGAGGTCAAGGAAGCCTTCCTTGTTGGCACTGCACAGGAAAGCTTCTTGGAGGTCAAAAATGGAGCGGGACTCCACCCCATAGTAAGCACGGACACGCACCCATAGTGGACGCATGGATCCTTCTGTGGTGGGATCCATCTTAAAAGGGCGCACTCGCATCTCAGGGAAGGTCCATAATATGGAAGATCCAGGGTCAGGTGTGAAGAACCAAACAAGATAATTGGCCAAAGGCAGACAAAGACTCAGAAGGACTATCCCATATAAGTGACCGATTTCACCTCCTTACTGCGCTCCTGCACACTCAGGACCCCTGCACTCCTCATCCCTGCACTCCTCTCTGGATGTGTATCTCCGCCTAGTTTCTGGGTACTGTGCTCCTCCTCATTCGAGGGGATGCCCATATTCTTTCTCTCTGCGTGTGTAGCTCTGCTCTGTTTTCTGTGTTGGATGAACAGTTTTCCTGTGTGCTCTCCCATACATTGTGCTGTATCACTAACTGAAAACTTTGTACTTGTTTTTAGTTTTTGCCTCTTTGAAACATTCTTGATTTCAAACAGGGGCAAGATCCAGGGCCTCTTTGCTTCTAGCCTCCAACCCTGGTGGCCTAGTGACTAGGACTCTTGGTTTTCATCAGTTCAGTTCAGTTCAGTTCAGTCGCTCAGTTGTGTCTGACTCTTTGAGACCCCATGAGTCGCATCCAGGTTACCCAGGTTTAATTCCTGAGCAGGCAACTAAGATCTCTCTTCAGGACCTCTCACTGCTCTCCCTTCAAGATCAGAATTACCATATGGTACAGCAATTTCATTTCTGGGCATGTATCCAGAGAAAGCTCTAATTTTTAAAGACATATGCACCCCAATGTTCATTGCAGCACTATTTACAATTGCCAAGACATGGAAATAACTTAACTGTCCATTAACATATGAATGGACAAAAAAGATGTGATACATTTATATTGGGTAGGCCAAAAGCTTCATTCAGATTTTTTTCTGTAAGATGTTATGGAAAGACCTAAATGAACATTTTGGGCAACCCAACACAATGGAGTACTACTCAGTCATAAAAAGAAAGAAATAATTCTATTTGCAGAAGCATGGATGAAACTAGAATTTATCATACTAAGTAGCCAGGCAAGGAAAGAAAAATATCATATATTACTTATATGTGGAATCTAAAAAATTATACAAATAAACCTATGTACAAAACAGAAACAGACCAAAAGACAGAAAACAAACTTTTGGTTCCCAAAGTGAAAAGGGGGGAGGGATAAATTAGGAGTTTTGGATTAGCATATATATACTCCTATATGGAAAACAGATAACGAACTGTGGCCTACTGTAGCACAGAGAACTATACCTAATATTTTCTAGTAAGCTATAAGGGAAAAGAATCTGAAAAAGAATATACATACATATATACATACATAGTAGTGAAAGTCGCTCAGTTGTGTCTGACTCTTTGCGACCCCATGGTCTATACAGTCCATGGAATTCTCCAGGCTAGAACACTGGAGTGGGTAGCCTTTCCGAAAAACCAGTCTCCCACATTGCAGGCTGATACTTTACCAGCTGAGCTACCAGGGAAGCCCCATAAACATATATGTGTATAATTTCATCACTGTACCATACACCTGAAACTTACGCAATGTTGTAAATCAACTAAATTTGAATTTAAAAAAAGAAAGAAAAAACAGGAGGTCTAGAGATTGCCCAAGCTCCTTCTGCCCTGTGAGGATACAGCAAGAAGATGACTTTCTCTGAATTAGGAAACAGGCCTCATCAAACACCAAATCTGCCAATACAATTTTCTTGGATTTCTCAGCTTTCAAACTGCAAGAAATACATTTCTGTTATTTATAAACCCCTCCCCCAAATCCTGGTTTGGATTTGCCTATTCTGAACATGTCATATAAGTATACAAGCTATATACAAGTATACAAGCTATAGCCCTTTTTAATGGAAGAAAATTGTTTTATAATGTTGTGTTGGTTTCTGCTGTACAATAATGTCAATCAGTCATAATTATATACAGATATCCTCCACCTTAAGCCTCTCTCCCCTTCCCCCATCCCACCCCTCTAGGTCATCACAGACAACCAGGCTGGGCTTCTTGTGTTATACAGAAAATTCCCACTAGCTATCTATTTTACACATGATAGTGTAAATGTATCTATGTCAATGCTATTTTCTCAATTTGTCCCACCCTCTCCTTCTCCTGTTGGGTCCACAAATCTGTTCTCTAAGGATGTGACCTTTTCAGTCTAGCTTTTTTCACTTATTGTAGTAATACCAAAGTTCATCCATGCTGCCAGTTCAGTTCAGCCACTGTCATGTCGGACTCTTTGAGACCCCATGGACTGCAGCACACCAGGCTTCCCTGTCCATCACCAACTCCCAGACTTGCTCAAACTCATATCCATTGAGCTGGTGATGCCATCCAACCATCTCATCCTCTGTTGTCCCTTTCTCCTCCTGCCTTCAATCTTTCCCAGCATCAGTGTCTTTTCCAGTGAGTTAGCTCGCATCACATGGCCAAAGTACTGCAGCTTCACTTTCAGCATCAGTCCTTCCAATGAATATTCAGGACTGATTTCCTTTCGGATTGACTGGTTTGATCTCCTTGCAGTCCAAGGGACTCTCAGGAGTCTTCTCCAACACCACAGTTCAAAAGCATCAATTCTTCGGTGCTCAGTTTTCTTTATGGACCAACTATCACAGCCATAGATGACTACTGAAAAAGACATAGCTTTGACTAGACGGACCTCTGTTGGCAAAGTAATGTCTCTTTTTTTAAATATGCTGTCTATGTTCAGTCAGTTCAGTCGCTCAGTCATGTCCAACTCTTTGCGACCCCATGAATCACAGCAAGCCAGGCCTTCCTGTCCATCACAAACTCCCAGAGTTTACTCAAACTCATGTCCATCGAGTCGGTGATGCCACCCAGCTATCTCCTCCTCTGTCATCCCCTTCTCCTCCTGCCCCCAACCTCTCCCAGCATCAGGGTCTTTTCCAATGAGTCAACTCTTCGTATCAGGTGGCCAAAGTATTGGAGTTTCAGCTTCAGCATCAGTCCTTCCAATGAA